CCCTCCTCCCTCCTCTCTCCTCTCTCCTCCCTCCTCCCTCCTCGTCCCTCCTTTCCTTGCTGCCTCCCCTAATCTGCTGCTCTCCTACCCATTTTGGCCTTCTCCCCACATCTCCATTTCTGTGTTGTCTCCATTTCTTCTGTTGTTGAGGGAGCTGATTTTATTATCCACTTTCCACCCTCATTCAAGGCACGTCATGACAGCAAAATACTTGGTTGCAGGACTTGAGAGTTGTGATTAAGCTATGGTCACAAATACCAAACACGTGTTTAATTGAGCCCTTAAGTGACCCTTAATATGGTCATAAATACCAAACACGTTTTCTCATTGAGCCCTCAAGTGTGGTATGCATGGCTCCCACATGGGTCCCTTCAGGCCCCGACATTGGTGCAGGGGTTGGGAAGTGTGAGTTTGGGGGTGTTTTCCTTATTTTTCGGGTCTTTTTCCAGTCCGGAGGTGTTGTTTCAGTATTTGTCCAGACTGGTAGTGCCTCCGGACCAGTTGGCATGATTCAGGCTCAGCGGCCGTGTTTTAGGCCTGGCTCACTCAGACTCGGGCGGAACCACGTTTTGGTCGCTGAGCCCTGGTTTGTGCTGTATGAGGACATCTCTGCTGATGCAGCAGAGGAGCCTGGATGTCTGGTTGGGACCAAGTCAGGCCGTTTTTAGGCCAGGTATCAGGACCCGGACTTGGGCCTGCATCATGGACTGTCGATGGGCACTACTATCGGACGGCCCAGACACTGGCCGAGGCAGGATCCAGTAGGCCCCATGCTATACATAGCTGGGCCAGCCTCCATTTGAGGTACACAGCATTCTGAGGAGTCACGAGACTACACTGCTGGAGCATTAGCGCTAGAGGAGAGCAGATAGCGTACAGGAGGTAGGAGGACAGGGAGTAGAGGCCAGGAGGTGCTGAGCGAGTGAGGACTCACCTGGGAGCTTACCTGTTGAACGCCATAGCCGTACTTTATCTTCAGGCCGCTTTCTTCTGCAGCACAGCTCAAGACAACGTCTTTCACTGTCAGTACCTGGTTACGAGAGAGGGTAAGAGAGGGAGTGAGGAGACTTCTTCTTCCCCCCCCCTTGATTCTGCCCTCCATATCCACCTCTTCTTCTTCTC